AGCTGGGGATCTAACTCAGTGAAGGAACATTTGTCTAGCATGCATAAGGCCCTGGGTTTAATCTCCAGTACTACACTGCCCTGAAAAAAAGTTATTAAAAATAATGCCAAACCATGACCATGAAAGAACAGCTTGGTAAGTTAGAATTTATTTATTCCTCACATCCTAAGTGTGTGCTGCACATAGTGACATAGTGACTTCCTTTCACAGACTATACTACGGAAATGGGGGAGGGAGTAATTTTACAAAGAAGAAACCAAACATTACTTTACCTAGGGATCAAGGTCAATGTCAGTTGTCCTAAGTTATGTGATTTGATGTGACATGTTATAAATAGCACTTTACTCTGTGATCCTCCAAAAAACCAAAACCCCAGTCTACTTAGGAAAGCACAACAAACACATTCCAATAGGATGACATCCTACAACATGCTTGACTAGTACTGCTCAAAACTGTCAAGGATATCAAGAAAAGGAAAGTATAAGAAATTGTCACAGCCAAGGAGAGCCTAGGGAGACGTGACAATTAAAAGCAAATGGTATTTCAGGTGGGATCTGGAACAGAAAAACAAGAATAGACATAAACCAAGGAAATGAACTAAGGTGACACTGGGGTTTCAATTTGGGGCCTCATGCTTGCTAGGCAGGAGCTTTTGTAACCACAAGCTCCAAAACACCCCATCTTCAGTCTGAGTTAAATCTGAACAGAATCTGGACATAGATCACATTGTGAAGGATTTCAAATACTTTTGAGTTATTAATCCCTAATTTCTAGTATCTATTGTACCTTAATTTGATTTCCATGTTCTCAAAAAGCAACTGATTGGGGGAAAGGGGGTGAGGGAAACAATAGAGGGGGTGAATCTAATTAAGATATATTGTAAGCACAGATGTACATGTCACAAGGTATCCACCTGGACAACTCTTTTATGCTAATCAAAATAAATCAAATCAAAAAAAGCAACAGGTCTGCAGTAGAATTAAATTTCTATCTGTATCACTCAGAAGGTTAAGATGGATTAATGGACAACTTGGAGAAGTTTATTCTAAAGAACCTTTAAAAAGTAGTGTAAGCCACCAACAACAAATGTTGGTGAGGATACGGGGAAAAAGGAACCCTCATACACTGCTGGTGGTAATGTGAGCCAGTACAACCACTCTGGAAAACAATATGGAGGCTTCTTAAAAAACTAAACATAGATCTACTATATGATCCAGCAATCCCACTCCTGGGGATATACCCAAAGGAATGTGACTCAGGTTACTCCAGAGGCACCTGCACTCCCATGTTTATTGCAGCACTATTCACAATAGCCAAGTTATGGAAACAACCAAGATGCCCCAGCACTGACGAATGGATTAAGAAAATGTGGTAACTATACACAATGGAATTTTATACAGCCATGAACAAGAATGAAATCTTATCATTCTCAAGTAAATGGATGAACTGGAGAACATCTTAAGTGAAGGTAGCCAGGCTCAGAAGACCAAAAATCATATGTTCTCCCTCATATGCGGACTTTAGACCTAAAACAATGCAGTAATATTATTGGACATGGGTCACACGCTAAGGGGAGAACACGTACAGAAGGTATAGAGAAGGATAGGAAACCCAGAACTTGAAAGTGTTTGATTTGCCCACTGTAGAGGAGCTAATATAGTAATCTTAAACTGACAGAGGCCACTATGGGAAGCTGACCAGGAAGTACTGAAAAGGTCAGGTAGAGATGAATCAACTCCAGTTGTAATACACATGTGGATGGAAGCAATGCTAGGAATCTCTCTGTATAGCTATCCTTATCTCAAACTAGCAAAAATACTATGTCTTTCTTATTATTGCTTATGTCGTCTCTTCAACAAAATTGGAGAAGAGGGCAGAACAGGTTTTGCCTAGAAGCAAGGGGGTGGGGAGGAGAGGGAGGAGGTAGCAGGGAGAGATGACCAAACAATGTATGCACATATGAATAAATGAATAAAAAAGTAGTGTAAGGCATGATTTTTGCTGACTTTAAGAAATTAACCTTTTCCAGGTATGGTAGCATTGGCCAGGCATGCTGGTGATTGCCTGTAATCCCAACATTCTAGAAGCTGAAGCAGTAGAATTGCAAGTTGGAGGCCAGCCTAGGCTATATAGCAGGACCATATCTCAAAAAATAGAACCAAAACTTTCTAAAGAGAGTTGCCTTAGTTTGTTGGACATAAATGTTATTTGATCTATGCTCTTATAAAGAGAATGTAAATTCATGAAAGACTTGACTTTAATCTGGAAAAGATGCTTATTACTTTGACGTTTCCAAATTCCATTATCAATCTAAAATCTTTCCAAAAATTTTACTAACCTAATAAAAGTGCTTAAAATTATTTTAAAAATTTATCAATCTAGAACCTTTTAATGAATCGGCTGCTTTAAGGTGTTTTTAGGCTTTTATTGGCTTTCATGATAGCACATATCATGGATTATTGCATTCCTAGCAGCCTCTTAACTGACTTTCTAAATTCTTAGAAAAATCGGACTATTATAATAGTGACCAAACTAATTCTCTGAAACTAACTCTTCAACACCAATATCATCTAAATAACAGCTCACTTAAAAGGTAACACTTATAAAAATGGTCATATTAGAAAAATGGAATTATAATTTTAGCTTTTCTTACATTACAGATAAATTGCTGAGTTCCTTGGAGTTTTAATTGCTAATTTCATACTACACAAAAGCGCTGACTCCTCGTGTTTTAAATGGGGAACTAAAGAGAAGTTTTGTCTCACTGTTTCATTGCTACTGATTGTCTACATTTGTTATTGCTTACATAATCTCAGGTCAGCTTGTTATAGTCATCAATCTGATTCTCTCAATTTTTTTCAGCCTTTTTTTCTGGTGGAGCTGAGGTTTAAACACAGGGGAGGTGCACTTACAGAGGAGGTGCTCTGCCTCTCGAGTCACACCTCCAGTCCATTTGCTGTGGTTATTTTTGAGATAGCTCCTTTAGATCCCTAAAAACAGTTCTATAGCATTTAAGCCAAACAACTATTTAGTTAAAGTTTTCATATATTTTTATTAGTTTTGATAATTGCCTCTCCTCATTTTGGTAAACCGTAATTTAAATAATTCACCTATAAATAGGTACAATTATAATGATATAAAATAAAAAAAACTAAGGAAATTTGAGCAAACTATGGGCTTTAATTAATAGTAGTCTATCAATATTAACACCATTCTAATGCAAACTGCAGGGGAAATTATGTGCAGGGGGTGGGAGTAATATGAAAACGCTGTACTATTTGGGAGAGTCTACTATTTTTTTTTTTTTTTGGATGGGACTAAGGTTGAACTCACAGCTTCTTGAGCTCCCACAGCAGGAAGCACACCACCAGTCCATTTTGCTCTGGTTATTTTTTGGAGATGGGGACTTGTGAACTATTTCCCAGGTTGGCCTCAAACCTTGGTCTTCCCAGTCTCCACCTCACAAGCAGCTAGCACTACAAGGATGAATCACGAGTGCCAAGCAATCTTTTTCTTTAAGCCACTGTTATTTCAAGCTTTCTGTCAGTTGCAGAATAAATGAATTCTTATTACTTATACTTCTGCACTCTCAAAATTAATAAGTGGAGCAGGGCACCAGTGGCTCATGTCTTTAACCCTAGCTACTCAAGAGGCAGAGATCAGGAGGACTGCGGTTGGAAGCCAGCCAGGGAAAACAGTTCGCCTATCTCAAAAAACCCCAAAACAAAAAAGGGCTGGTGGAGTGGCTCAAGGTGTAGGCCCTGAGTTCAGGCCCCAGTACTGAAAAAAAATGTAGAAAAAAATTCAGTCTTACGTGTAATTAGCAGAGTTCGTAGATGCTTACTCCCCTGTTTTGAGCTGAACAGTTGTTTCCCTCCCAAAGTTCCTAGTGCCTTGAAGGTGAATATATTTAGAAATAGGCTATTTAAAGAAGTAACTAAGGTAAAATGAGGCCATAAGGGTAGAGCCTAATTTATAACTGGTGTCCTTGGAAGAGGAGAAAATTATGACACAGACACTGAGGAAGGACCACGAGAAGACACAGAGAGGAGAGGGCCAGAGGACGGACCCAAGAAGACACCAACCCTGCTGACACTTTGATCTTGGACATTAGCTTCCAGTAGTGTGAGAAAAAAAACAGCTATTATGTAAGCCACCAGTCAGTGTGTTATGGCAATCCTAGCAAACTAATACACCCACCAAACTCATTTCCATATGAGCAGATCACTTATAATAGAGGAAAGAGATGCTCAGAGAGGTGGGCATGGTTGTGGCACTCCCTTGTAATCCAAGCACTCAGGAGACTGAGGCAGGAGGATCATGAGTTTGAGATGAGCCTGGGCTACATAGCTAGCCCCCCCTGCCCCTCCGCAAAAAAAAGCATTTGGGGCTATAGTAATTCTTGAAGAAGCTACCTGCCTCACATCAAGCACTTTGCTGGGCGTTTTCACACGTTATCTCATCATGAGGAAGATATGAGTTATCGCTTCATTTTCTCCATGAGAAATCTGGGTCCAAAAATACTAAATGAATGGCCCAGTCAGTCAGTTTAGAAGTTTCAAAACTGGAATAGGATTCTGATCTGTGAAAAGCCACAGCTCACACATCTCTCCTTTCCCAACTACCTTTCAGAAATACCTCTTCAGTGCAGACAGTCCACACAATGACAGAGGTATAGAATTACCACGGCTGTGACTTACTGAGCACTTACACTGGACTGAGTGCTACACTAAGCTTTTCACCTCCATTCTCCATAGAATTCCCTACAGTTCTCTTAGGTCGACAATCTTACCTTTATTTGAGGAAAGGACATTGAAGTCCAGAGTGACTAGTAACTTGCTCCAGGTTGTCCAACTGTTTATAGAAGCCCAGGACTTCAGCCCACATCTGTCCCACTCCTGGAACCACGCTCTAACCCTCTGCTCCACTCGGCCCAGCCACAGCTCCACAGCCAAGTCCCAGTTCCATGGGAGCTGCGGGCTCTGCCCTCAGGCACTCACCTATAACTTCTAGCCAGACCCTGCCCTCCGCCTTCTGTGGGGTGACCACCACCACGCATCGGTATTCTCCCGCTTCCCTCAGCTGGATGGCAGGCAGCTGTAGTGAGGCATCACCCCTCTTCAGCCTCCATAGAGACACAGTGGCTCCAGGTCGGATTGCCTCTTGGTGATCTCCGATAAACTCAAACACTTTCTCCAGATCAGATGTCTGATTCTTCCAAAACCATCTGATACCCATAGTCCTGATGTCCAAGTTTGGAGCTCCAGGCACTTTGCAGATGATGGTGATATTTTTATTGAGGGATACCGTCTGCCTCCTCCCAGCCATCTCTACTTCCAGACCACCTGTGGTGATAAGAGAAGTCAGTCATGAGAGACCCTTGGTACTCTCAAACACTACCATGTAATAAGCATTTTTGGGGGTGGGTGGGAGAAGACTCAGTAGAGAGGCTCTTAGTTCATGGCTCCTTGTTCAGCCACATAAGATCCCTCAACTTTGTTCTTTTTCAAGATATTTTTTGGGGCCGTTATTGGTCCCATGCAATTTCATATGCATTATAGAACCAATGTACTAATTTCTACAGAGAAATCGGCTGAGATTCTGACAGGAACTGCACCGAATCTGAAGAAGAATTGGGAAGTACTGCCATCTTAACAATGCTAAAGTTTTCAATCCATATAATATTTGTGTCCTCCAAAAATTTACATGGCAAAGCCAAATCCCTAGTGCAACAGTGTTGTAAGTAGGAAATTTGGGAGGTGATTAGGTCATAATGGTGGAGCCTTCTGAATGGGATTAATGGATTTATAAGACAGGAGAGAGAAATCTGTCCCTCACTCTGCCATGTGAAGATACTGCAAGGATCTTTCTGCAAACCAGGAATGGGACCCTCACCAGAAAAGGATTTTCATCTTAGACATCCAAACTCAACAACAGTAAGAAATAAATTTCTTTTTTATATGATTTTATTAGCATATAATAGTTGCACAGGGGGATGCACTGTGACATTGACATATGTGATTATCATGTATCTTAGTTAGATTTACCCCTTCCATTATTCTCCCAATTCCCCATCCCCCACCTTCTTAGAACAACTTCAACAAATTCCATTCTTCTGTTTTCATATATGGATACAAAACACATCCACCATATATATCCACATTCCCTTTCCTTGTGCCCACCCCATCCTACCTACCCCTGAAAAAGATTTATTTTGCCCTCCTGCCCTTCCTTTTTAAAATTAAGTGCATACTGATAGCCCAAGAGGTTTGTTTGTCTTTGGTACTTCCAGTCTGTATATATCATGCTTTTACCAAATTAAGCCCCTCCCATCCATTATTTTCTCATTCTCTATCCAACAGTTAGTTCCCCTAATATTCAACAGTTTAAAGTGCATTATATTATATTCACATATAGAAATGTGCAAATGAAAATTAGTGCAACTGCTATAGAAAGCTTTGCAACCGCTCTAATGCTTGAGCCAAACTTCCAGTCTGAAGACAGTTTTAAAGAGAAAGATGTAAAGGCAATACTCAGTCAAAAGAACAATGCAGGAGGTATCACAATACCTGACTTCAAACTATATTACAAAGCAATAACAATAAAAATAGCATGGTACTGGCACAAAAACAGACATGAAGACCAGTGGAACACAATAGAGGACCCAGATATGAAGCCACACAACCATAACCAACTTGTCTTTGACAAAGGAGCTAAAAATATACGATGGAGAAATAGCAGCCTCTTCAACAAAAACTGCCGGGAAAACTGGTTAGCAGTCTGCAAAAAACTGAAACTAGATCCATGTATATCACCCTATACCAAGATTAACTCAAAATGGATCAAGGATCTTAATATCAGACCACAAACTCTAAAGTTGATACAGGAAAGAGTAGGAAATACTCTGAAGTTAGTAGATATAGGTAAGAACTTTGTCAACGAAACCCCAGCAGCACAGCAACTAAGAGATAGCATAGATAAATGGGACCTCATAAAGCTAAAAAGCTTCTGTTCATCAAAAGAAATGGTCTCTAAACTGAAGAGAACACCCACAGAGTGGGAGAAAATATTTGCCAGCTATACATCAGACAAAGGACTGATAACCAGAATATATAGGGAACTAAAAAACTAAATTCTCCCAAAACTAATGAAGCAATAAAGAAATGGGCAAGTGAACTAAACAGAACTTTCTCAAAAGAAGAAATTCAAATGGCCAAAAAACACATGAAAAAATGCTCACCATCTCTAGCAATAAAGGAAATGCAAATTAAAACCACACTAAGATTCCACCTCACCCCTGTTAGAATAGCCATCATCCAAAACACCAACAACAACAGGTGTTGGCGAGGATGCGGGGAAAAAAGGAACCCTCTTACACTGTTGGTGGGAATGTAAACTAGTACAACCACTCTGGAAAAAAATTTGGAGGCTATTTAAAAAGCTAGACATTGATCTACCATATGATCCAGCAATACCACTCTTGGGATATACCCAAAAGACTGTGACACAGGTTACTCCAGAGGCACCTGCACACCCATGTTTATTGCAGCACTATTTACAATAGCCAAGTTATGGAAACAGCCAAGATGCCCCACCACCGATGAATGGATTAAGAAAATGTGGTATCTATACACAATGGAATTTTATGCAGCCATGAAGAAGAACGAAATGTTATCATTCACAGGTAAATGGATGGAATTGGAGAACATCATTCTGAGTGAGGTTAGCCTGGCCCAAAAGACCAAAAATCATATGTTCTCCCTCATATGTGGACATTAGATCAAGGGCAAACACAGCAAGGGGATTGGACTTTGAGCACATGATAAAAGCGAGAGCACACAAGGGAGGGGTGAGGATAGGTAAGACACCTAAAAAATTAGCTAGCATTTGTTGCCCTTAATGCAGAGAAACTAAAGCAGATACATTAAAAGCAACTGAGGCCAATATGAAAAGGGGAACAGGAACTAGAGAAAAGGTTAGATCAAAAGGAATTAGCCTAGAAGGTAACACACACACACAGGAAATCAATGTGAGTCAATGCCCTGTATAGCTATCCTTATCTCAAGGAGCAAAAACCCTTGTTCCTTCCTATTATTGCTTATACTCTCTCTACAACAAAATTAGAAATACGGGTAAAATAGTTTCTGCTGGGTATTGAGGGGGTGGGGGGAAGAGGGAGGGGGCGGAGTGGGTGGTTAGGGAGGGGGTGGGGGCAGGGGGGAGAAATGACCCAAGCCTTGTATGCACATATGAATAATAAAAGAAAAAAAATTAAAAAATTAAAAAAAGAGAAAGATGTAGACTTGAAACCCCTCAGAAGGCTTGTCTGATGGAAGAATAAAATGCAAATGAAAAGAATAAGTAGCTGTGTGTGGTGCTTCAAGCCTGTAATCCTTTCTACTAAGGAGGTGGAGATGGGGAGGTCAACCATCTGGACTTTTGCAACAAGGAGGATCAACTGAAACAGCTGACCACCTGAAGATGGAGCTGTCCCAGCTGTACATCGCCAAAGTGACAGGTGGCACAGCATCCCAGCTCTCACCCTCATTATCCAAACTCAGAAAGAAAACCTCAGGAAATTCTACAGGGACAAGAAGTACAAGCCCCCAGACCTGCGGCCCTAGAAGACAGGCACCATGCGCCGCTGGCTCAGCAAGCAGAAGCTGAAGACCAAGATTCACAGCAGAAGGAGCCAGAGTGCCCTCTGCGCAAGCACAGGGTCAAGGCCTGGGCCGCCCCATGCGATGAAACGAAACTGGAAAAAAAAACAACTGTCTCGTTTTGTTGGTACGCACGTACGCAGGTGCGCAGGTATGCATGGCACACACGTGGCATTCGTTCTTTTCTTGGCACTGTGTTTCCAAGGTCCTTCCACACTGCTGTGCTTACAGCTAGTCCATCATTTGACGCAGCTGCCCTGGTGTCTGGTGAGCATCCAAAGGTTTGCTCAACTACATCCCCTCCAACTGCCTCCACTGCACCCTACCTTCCTGCACCCCACCCACACCCCCACCCCACCTCATCTCCACTCCCACCCCCACCTCCCCACCCCCACCTCTTCCCCACCTCATCCCAGACGCCCCACCCCAACCCGCCTCACCCCCACCTCACGCCCACTTCGGAGCCTGTTTTGGCCAGTCTAGTAAGTGAGATCTCATTGTCGCTTTAATTTCTTTTCTACTTAGTTTTAAATCTCCTTAGATGTGTTTAGGCCTTAAATTTTCCCACTTGAAGATCAGACAGAACAAGCACATCCGGAGTCCCCAAGACAGTAAAGGAGCTTCAAAGTGACCTTAAGCCATCCCTCCGGCCTCGGTAAAGACCCTGTAAGGCCAGGCGCCCCGCGGACACGCGGGAGGAGAACTTCTCCAACTTCGCCATTTCCACTCTTCCCTTGGTTTTCCCACTGCCTCCAACACCTAGCGCGACTCAACTAGGCGCCAACACCGGTGCACCCGGCGCGCACCCCGAGCGCAAAACCAAAGACATGCTGAGCCTTCCATGAGAGTCTGCGGACCCCATAAATGAATCTGCATTTTCCTATCACAGCTCCGAATCGGGCCGCTGTACTGTGGCCCCGGGGCGGCCATCATTAAGGCGTGACTCCAGAGGAGCAGACCGGCGACTGCCAGAGCCACAGCAGCGCTCCCTTCCTTTCCCATCCCCACCTAGGTCCTACCTGCGGCGGCCAGGGCGAGCCACAACGCCAGGAGCAGCCGCGCCAGCGCCATCGCCATCGCCCAGGACATGCCCAGCGCGCTCCACAGGGCCTTCGCCAAGGGGTCCGCCATGCTCAGCCAGGCTCAGGCCACCCGCGCTCCGCAGCACAGGGTGATGCAAGAACTGCGCTTGCGACACGGACTTGTGCCCTGGCAGTAGGTCGTCACTAATGGTGCACTTGAACTTCTAGAACTTCTGATCACTTCACTCCAGGAAGTTGTCTGGATTCGTGTCTTCACTGAGGAGGAAACGCGGGGGAGGGACTCATGGGACCGGATGGGCGACAACCATAAGTACCAGCTGGTGGAACTGGGGTTTGGACTCAAGGTTATGTGAAAACCCACGCATCCAGCTAGAGATTGTTAAGACTCTAAACCCGGCCACTCTATTACCAATTGCCTCAGGCCCCCAAGCACAACTGCTTAAAGGTTATGGATGAAGTTTTCTCAAGCCGGCCAGATTTACCAATCAACCATGAGTAATCTGGATGTTAGATATTTCACAAATGGCAGTAGCTTTGCCCAGGATGGCACATGTTTTGCTGGTTGTGCAGTGGTGACTATGGACTCAGTTATTGAGGCTCACTTGGTGCTGGTAGGGAGTTCTGAGCAAAAGGCTGAGCTTGTCACCCTCATCCAGGCACTCCAGCTCACTGCAGGAGTAAAAGTAAATATTTACACTGACTCTAAATATGCCTTCACAACCATTCATGTTCGTGGGCCCTTATATAAAGAGAAGAGAAGTATCAAGTCTGGGAAGGATATCCTCAAACTGCTAGATGCTGTGTGGGCCCCTAAACAGGTAGCAGTTATGCACTGCTGAAGGTACCAGAAGGGGGATACATTGCTCAGGGAAACCTGAAGGCTGACCGAGGGACAAAAAAGTGGCCCTCACAAGGGGACCAGCCCCAACTGTTCTGACAGCTGCCTTGTTTCCATGCCCCTTAGCTAAATGGGACCCACGTTACACACCACAAGAACAGGCTTGGTTTAAGACTCAGGAGGGAAATTTTCTACCAAATGGATGGTGGAAATTTGCTGATGGCACATTGCCATACCTGAGTCTCTGGCCCCTATATTTGTCAAACAGTTCCATGAAGGAACTCATTCAGGCGAACAGCCCTCAAGACCACCGTGGCCCGGACTTTTATGTCCTCAGGCTCTCCAGCATAAGGAAGACAGTATATGAGAGATGTACCATATGTGCCACAAGTAACCCCAGACAAGGCCAAGAGTGCCGCCTTGTGCCCAGATTGTTGGTGGACCTCCTCTTGAAAACTTGATTGTGAATTCAATGAAATGCCACGAGTTCAAGGATGCAAATATCTGCTGGTGTTTGTTTGTACCTTCTCAGGATGGGTGGAAGACTTCCCTACGTGGACTGAAAAGGCCTAGGAGGTGGCCAGATGTCTGTTAAAGGAAATCATCCCTGGGTTTGGAATACCTGTGTCAATTGGGTCAGACAATGGGCCAGCCTTTGTGGCCGAGATGGTACAGTTGCTGGCTAAGGCTTTGGAATCACCTAAAAGTAGAGTACGGCCTACCACCCCCAAAGTTCAAGAAAAGTAGAATGTATGAATGGAACCCTAAAATCACAATTAGTAAAACTGTGTCAGGAGCACCATCTCAGTGGGATCAAAAACTGCCCATTGCATTACTAAGGGTTAGGTCTAGCTCCATGAAACAGACGGGCTCTCGCCCTTTGAAGTACTTGATGGATGCCCACCCCACTTAATCAAGGGCATACAGGGGGACCTTAAGGACATAGGTGACCTCACCTTGAGACAGCAGATACAGGCTCTCGGGTTAACTCTCTCAAAGATTAATGACCGGGTCCAGGAAAGATTTTCCCACACACCCATACAGGCCAGGGGATGCCATCTGGGTAAAGGAATGAAATGTCCAACTCTTAAAACCTCATTGGAGGGGCCCTTTTGTTGTTATTTTGTCTACTCCCACTGCAGTTAAAGTAACCGAGATTGCTCCTTGGATCCCCCACGATCAAGTCAAACCAGCTTCTCTCGAATGGGAATGCATCCCTGATCCAGGTTCACCATGTAGAATCACCATCCAGAGCCTGAGCACCCTCTCTCGGCAGGACTATGCTTCCCAGGAAACAACAGGGGACCATGACTGGCGGGATGACAGCCCTGCTCTATTCACTCCAGAAGCTGACTAGTCTATGCACTGCAGAAGCTTGAGGAGTCAACTGTCCAATGGAACAAATGGACTGTTTTTCACACCACTTAATTCACTGTAATGCACTGTCACCCCTTGTCTGTATCTGGTGCTGCAGTTCTCACCCTAGTCTTCACCATAGGTTTGGAAGAAACCTTCCCCGCTGATTAGATTCACAGTGAAAGGTTTTTATTAGCTCTCTTCAACCTCTTTTGTGCAGGATGCATAATTACTGCTTATTGTTACTGATGTGGTTTCCCTTTGTGGTTCCAGAGCCCTCATCCTGTGACCTATGTATGCCTACTACTTGGACAGGAAGTGTTGTCACTAAGACTTTGCTTTTCCATGCTTACTATTCCTGTGCAGGCTCTGTCATCGGGTCATGCACTCACAACCATGCCACCTATTTGGTGTGTCCTATGGTGGTCAGCCTATCTGCTTCAACTCCACCTACGGCCCTTGAGAACAATGGCTAGAAGTCCAAAGCTTTCACAGTGCTGGGAGCCTCATCACCAGACTAGGGTGAGCGACCCTAACAAACCTGTGTCCATATATTTTGATGAGTGTGCCACGATAGCAAAAAACATCGCTATTTGGGGCTACGGTGGAGGCTTCGCCTGGGAGAGGGCGTATATGCTAAAAGGTAAGTATATGTGTCCAAAAAACAACCCACACGTCCGTTATTGTGAGTCCTGTGAAGGGCTCTAGTGCCCTTATGAGACTGTGTGAATGACATGGCAAAAGAAGGAGACCACCACCCTTCTCCAGAGAGGGGAAACAACACCTGACTGCACTCTTGGCACCTGGAACGCTGTGAATTTCACCATTTTCAATGTCAGTGAACCCAGCTGGGAGACTGAAAGGTAACTTGGATTTTTAATTAATGGAAAGGGTGAGGATCCCCGTACTTTACTATACTTCAGCTTGTCACAATTACCCATGAGAATTCTTCATACCAAGTTTTTCACTCCTTTTACAAGGAAATGAGTGAATTTTCCATCTCTGCCAAAGCTAAAAACTTGTTCCTCTCACTGGCTGAGCCTATAGTCCAGACACTGAATGTCACTTTGTGCTACTGACGGGGAACCTACATGGGAAACCATTGGCCTTAGGAAGCAAGGGAGCTGGACCCACCGAAGCCTTTTAATGAGACCGCATTCCCAAAACACAAGAAAGGCGTCTGGCTTCCATCATAGGAAATTATTGTATCTCCCACCCAAAAGGCCAATTCTCCACCTCCATGGGGGATTTAGCTTGTTGAGGACAGAAGTTTTACACTGACACTGCCCAAGAGACCCAATGGTTAGGAGCTCTAAACTACACAGAAACCCAGCCCCATCCACTGGCCAACTTTTCTTAGCTCCAGAAACCTTGGGACAATCTTACCACAAACATAGGTTGGCCAGCGCCCAGTGGACTGTATTGGATCTGTGGGAAGCAAGCTTATAAAGTCTACCTAGTAGCTGGTTTGGGTCTTGTGTGCTAAGCTCAATCACACCATCCTTTTTCCTGCTTCCACTCAGACAAGATGAAAAACTGGGAGTCCCCATATATGAAAATAGATTAAGTAGACAAAAATAGGGTGACTTGCAAACTGACAATTGTACAGATGATGAATGGCCTCCTGAGCGAATCCTCCCATACTATGGTCCTTCTGCTTGGGCAGAAGACGGGTCCTGGGGCTATTGCACCCCTATATATATGCTCAACCGCATCATCAGGCTGCAGGTGGTTCTTGAAATTATAATTAACGAAACTACAAGAACTCTGGATTTGGTGGCAAACAAAACACTAAGATGTGCAATGCCATCTATGAGAACCTCTTGGCTTTAGACTATTTGCTGGCTTCTGAGGGAGGAGTTTGTGGAAAATTTAACCTAAACAACTGCTGCTTACAGACTGATGATGAAGGAAAGGTCATAGAAGAGATCACAGACAAGATGAGAAAGCTTGCCCATGTCCCCATTCAGACTTGGAGAAGATGAGATCCTCATGACCTGTTTGGAGGATGGTTTTCTGTCATAGGTGGATTCAAAACTAAGCCATTCTTAAATATAGCATACTCTCTAACAGAAGGTAGTATAAGAGAATAAAAAAAACTGAACTATTTCTTTTCTTGTTTTTTTAATTATACCTTTTTTTTATGCTTTTCTTGGTGGTGGTGTTGGTGGTGGTTTGAACTCAGGGCTTCATACTTGCTAGGCATAACACGTGAGCCCCTCTGCCAGCCCTAAAGCTCGTATGTTCACATTATGATTTTTTTTTCTTTTCTTTTATTCTTTCTGTGTGGGGGGTGTAGGGGGAGCACTGTGGTTTGAACTCAGGGCCTTGTGCTTGCTGGGCAAACATTCTACCACAATCCCAGCCTGACTTTTTCTGGTTTGTTTGCTTAATTGCTTTTGCAGTAACGGGGACTGACTTAAGCCATGCCTCATTGCTTAGCCATTATTATTATTATCAGGGATATAAGTCCTCACAGAAAATATTCTTTTTCTTTTTTGGTGGTAGTGGGGTTTGAATTCAGGGCCTCATACTTCCTCAACAGGTACTTCACTGCTTGAGCCACACTGCCAGCCCCTCAAAGAAACTAAAAGCTCAAAGCCAATTTCAATTGTAGAAAATTCCCATCATCAAACTAAGATATAAGTTAATTTTATTATTTTAACTAAAAACTTTGTAATTATTAGCGTAACATAGTTATACGGGGGTGCTTACAATAAATCTTAATTAGATTCATCCCCTCCATCTTTCTCTTTTATTTCCCCTCCCTCCTTCCTAGAACAATTTCCACAGGTTTCACTGTTCTATTTTCATACATGAATACGAAATACTTCCACCATCATTGCCCTCCTTCACCCTGTCCTTATGCCCACCCCCTCGCACAGGAACCCACC